CAATGATTGAGACTATTTCCATGCAGTGACCATTGGGTGTTGGGTGCCATTGACCTTGAAATGAGTAGGATCTACTACTTGGATTCAATCGGAGATACTCCAGCTGCTGATTTTGAGCTAATTATGAATGACTAAAATATTAATTTAAACGCCATATTCCCCTGTTTTTTGTTTTTTGACAATTTGTATTAATCACTTATATATATTTATATATATATATATATATATATATGTGTGTGTGTGTGTGTGTGTGTGTGTCTATATATATATATATATATATATATATATGTGTGTGTGTGTGTGTGTGTGTGGTGGCCTTGAGTCTGCTGTGATGAAAGTTTTTAACTCATTTTCAAGGGAGTAGAGATCTATCAGGCTGCAAAGTCAAACAAGAGACTAAATTGGAGTTGGATAACTGTAACGGTATGACTTGATTAGTAAAATTAATAACATATCAACCTATATTTTTATTAAATATTAAATTCATATGTATATATGCAGTGCCCAAAGCAAAAAGGTTCAGTTGAATGTGGCTACTTCGTTATGAAGTACGTATATGAAGGACATTGTGGGCAATGTGAATGTGTTGAAGAACAATGTAAGAAACTTTTAACGTAATTCTCAATTCACTTAATTGTAATGTCAAAGTGGTAGTTTACTTTTCAAGTACAATGTCATATTGACAAGATAAGATGGCAGTAGGACAGTTGTTTGGCGCATAAAATCAGAACTTTATGCCTCTTTCTACACACATGTGTTTATCATTTTATATATGCATGCATTTATATATGTGTATGTTGTACATAAACAACTATATGCATGTTTAAAACACATGAATATTTTTCAGGTTTGGTTTTAACTAAAAAATGCTTAAGTAAAAAAGTTATAGTTTACTTTAATTTGAACGTAATTATGTACTTTAAGTAGATGATTATTTTATGTATTCTGAACATCATGGAGTATTCTGAACATCATTGTTAATTTTTTGGTCTTGTAAGTTTTCTGCAATTATGGAGTACTCTGAACATGACATCCTTCAAATACGTGAGGAGTGGGCTTCATATGCAGCAACTTTGGTGAAAGAGTAAGTTGAAATGTTTTTGTTCTAATGCTTATTTTGTGTTATGTGTTCTATGTTAATAATGGTGTTGTCATACTTTAACAATGATGATTGTATTTTCTGTGAATAGTTGAAAGAATCTTTGGGTTGCAATGTGTTCAAGGAGTGGCCAGCTGGTGAAGAAATGTGCAGAGGTTCTTGGAAGACTGAATGTTGTGATATGATGTGGTTGGAAAAAACAATGGTTGTAAAACTTCTTTGTAATGCTTTTGTGGAACTTGTGCTTTTGTGAAACTGCATGTTGGGAAAACTATGGTTGTAAAACTATGCCAGGAATGCTGTGAAACCTTTGACAATGGGTTCCTTTTTGGACAGCTAGCTTATTTTGACTTTAATAGCTAGCTTGGTGATCACTTTGAGATATTGTGGCTTTTATAAGTCATTTTGATGTGTACATGTTGTTTTACATGAATGTTTAGTTTGTCATATATAAGTTGCAGGGTTCATATTTGATATTTGGTAAAATTTAGGAAATAAAAATATTCAACGAATCTGGTAACCATTGAGAAATGGAAATATGAATAAAGTAAAATTGGTAATACCATCATGACAGAATTTCGGTTGGCAATTGTATGTCATAAATTCTTATGACACAAAAGTGTCAAAAAAATTAGACATACTACATTATCAATCTTTTATATGATGTCAATGTATCATTAAATTTTGAGACATAATTGTATCAGAAAAAACTATGATGTTTATAAATCATAAAATATGTTGTTACAATTCTGTCACAATTTACTGACACTAAGCCGTGACACTAAATTTAGTGTCGCAACTCCCGGTTTTCGTTGACACTTTCTTAGTGTCATAAAATCTTTTGTTGACACTAGATATGTGTCACTATAGATCAATTTTCTACTTGTGAGTCATCCTTGGCTATCGGAAGTCATTGTACAAGACTCTGAGATAATCAGCGCCTCATCGACATTTGAACACAAAGGGGAAGAATGTTAGAATATTATTTTATTATGTTCAAATAAATTGTATTTTATTTAATGAGTCTTTGTAATTAATTAGTAAACATCAAGCAGTTTATAAATATACAAAAATTTTAATGTAAACATCCTTCGTGATTAATTATAAATTTTATATTCAAAGCACCATAAAACATACAAAAATAAATATTCAAGCAATCAAGCAGTTTTAGACCTAAATAATTAGTATGACAAGCACCCAATATCTCTTGTATTATAATAAAAAAACAGTAATCATCCCAGAATCTAAATTCAATAAATAAATTTAAACAATTTTAGGCCTAAATTTAGTTTGAACTCTAAAAAAGTAGTAATCCGTCTCAATATTTTTTTTATTAGGCCTAAATTCATTACACCATTAAATTAACTATTAGTTAGGGATGTTAGGGATTTTGAAGTGGGCCTCTGGTGTATTATTCTTTATATACTTATATGGTATATACGATTTAGTGTACACGAGTTAGCATATATGCTTATTATTCTTATATATAAAGAGTTATAATTTATTAATAATGTTACGGATGGGTAATGGTGCGGGTACCCGCACCATTAGTGAACGGGGCGGTTTCGGGGCGGATAACGGGGCGGATTAGTATAGAACCATAACCGCACCATTATCCATTTAAAAAAATCGGGTATTCCCCATCCCGTATTCGTTCCCCGGTCAAACCGGTTTTCACCATTTTGACCAAATCGGTTCAGTGCGGGTATCCAACGGGTCGGCCGAAATTGCCATCTCTAGCTCTACATAGCCCACATGCATGCACGGCCCACTCTGTTTCCTAATTGTATTAAGCAGTTCGAACATCTCTCCTATAAATAAGGCTGAGATGGTCGAATCTGCTCCCTAAGTCTCTACACATTCTATTCCGCATGTTATTCTGGTAGAGCACGTAGATTAGAAATTCTCTCTCTATCTGTTCAAGTACTGTGTATTGTTCTTCATGGATTCATCATTCTATATACACGGTATACGTTATTGGTGACATTTCTCTTTTATTGTTTTAATTCTTTCAATCATTATTAGATTATTCGACTCTTAGAAATGTGAGCATAGTTCACACACAACGTTTATTGGCTTGCTTTTCTTTTGGCGTAGTACCCGAACAACGGACGTGTAAAGTTACTTTTTTGCCATGTACACTTTTCCGCAATTCAACACGTGTACGTCGTGTATATGTTAGCTTTTGTGAATTCTTTTGGTGCCATATGAAGAGTTTTGGTCATTCCATTATTAATTAATTTAAATAATTTTCTTCCATGAATTAGAATTGAATATTTGAGTGAGTTTAGTAGCTAGTTTAGAGTTGTACATATATATAGCGTAAACATTTTATTTTATATCTTGTCGATTAAAATTTACTAGAACAAATTTTAATGAAACAATGAGTCAATGACATACTATGATGAGAACAAAAATGATGGATAAGATTATGATTTTATTACACTAATAATGAGAGTATACTTTGTATAAAGTAATTTAAATATTCCAAACTTTGAAGGGATGTGAGATAAATACCTCAAATTTGCGCATGTAATATATATACCTCAAGCTTTATACTACGTATAAAAAACTATGTTAGCACTATAATCATATATTTTTTCACAGATGTAATTTTATGGTGTTACGCAAAATATTTGTGAGGATGCAATTAAAATTAAATTGTACTGCATTAATATAAGGGAAAATCGCACATTTGACCTCCCAATTATCCACCATATTAAAATCCCAAACCCGTGTTTCAGGTTTTCTAAATTTCACCCCTGAGTTGTCCGAATAATTATAAATGTCACTCCTGCCGTTATAAATATTGTAAACTCCGTCTGTTTTTCATTTTTTTCAAGGTTAAAGTTGTCATTTCCCCATTCCAACCCTGACTACCCCTCCGCTGTCAATTTACTCACCGCCTTCGCCGGCTCCATCCCCGGCCTCCGATCCCAGCTTCTGTATTTCACTTCCCAACCCCTAAACAAACCCCTACTTCTACTCACCTGGCCCGGCTCCAACCCTTCGCATTCCTTCATCCTCTTCAATTCGCATCTTGACTCCGTCCCTGCCGAGCCCACCAAGTTCTCCCACCCGCCCTTCTCCGCCCACCGCTCCTCTGACGGAAAAAACTTCGCTAGCGGAGCCCAGGACGACAAGTGCATCGGCATCCAGTACTTGGAAGCTATCAGGGCTATCCAAATCAGCTCTCCGGGCTTCACACCACTCCAGAATGTCCACATCTCTTTCATTCTCCAGGAGGAAATTGGGGGCTTCGAAATAGGGCTTTAAACGAAAAGGATTGGGAAATGACAATTATAACCCTGGAAAAAATCAAAAACAGACGGAGTTTACAATATTTATAACGGAAGGGGTGACATTTTTAATTATTCGGACAACTCGGGGGTGAAATTTAGAAAACCTGAAACACGGGTTTGTGATTTCAATATGGTGGATAATTGGGGGGTCAAATGTGCGATTTTCCCTTAATATAATTTATTTCACAAATGAAATTTTAGAATGTTAATTGCACTCTAACAATGCTTAGAGTTTTTAAAATTATGTAATTATTCCAGTAATTTTGTATTTATAACAAACATACAATCACAATGCGAAAATAATTTTTTATATAAAATTTTGGGGTATGTATGTGTATGTAAGTTTGTGGTACTTATCTCACATCGTATGAAAATTTGAAGTATTTAAACTATTTTGTACATATATTTTCTTTTTTGCCTATATAAATATTTTGCCCATATATTTTCGTGTCGAAGGAAGCTGGCATTGTCACGCCCCAGACCGCAATCTAAGCGCGTGTACAACCGCCATATAATTGAGTGACGTCACCCGTGGGTCAACCTCACTTAATCATACAAGGCGTTCGAGAAAACAATCCATCCATACTCAGTAGTAAACATGCATAACAACATCACAAATTAAACCATTGATAAGCGGAAATATTCAGCGATAATTCATAGGCCACATCCGGCCAATAGCACGGGCATGCAAGCCCAATAGTAGTTTGAAACAAATAAAAATATCCATGAGCAATGTTTAGTAATTTGAAAGTACATGAGGAAGCACGAACCATGTCTTCCTTGAAATAGATATCACCCGTAGAAAGGTGCAGGTAGCAAGCTCTAGCTTCAACCTGAAAATGGTGGACCCCCGAAGGGGTCAGTACAAGTACCAAGTGAGTAGCAGGCTAAATATAGAATAACTAGCGTTTCAAGTATAAGACCCAAACATAGGGTGATACTTATGCAAGTGAGTAGCACATTCTTAGAGTACCGTCTTTCTTCTTCACGAAGAGTACCGGTGCCCCCCCACGGTTAATAGCTAGGTCTAATGAATCCGTTGTCCAATAGCTTTTGCAGTCGGACCTTCAACTCTTGAAGTTCCGCCGGTGCCATTCGATAAGGAGGAATCAAAATGGGTTTTGTTCCTGGCTCTACTTCGATCACGAATTCAATTTCCTTATCGGGTGGAAGCCCCGGTAAGTCTTTAGGGAAGACGTCCGGATACTTACACACGATATGTACATCGTTAATGTCAACTTCTTTCTTTGTCTCATCCACCACGTAAGAAAGGTACGCGTGGCATCCTTTCTTCATCATCTTTCGTGCCCTCACGGCAGATATGATACAACTGGTAGCCTTGCCTCTGTATCCCTCAAAGCGTAGGATCAAACCTTCACCGCTTTCAAGTTCGAGGACCTTTGTGTAGCAATCGACCCTGGCATGATGCTTCTCCAGCCAATCCATCCCGAGGATTGCATCGAATTCAATCATACCCTGGGGTACAAAATCACACGCCATGGTTTGGCCCTCTACTTCCACTTCACACGAGGGATGGTGGCTATCTCTTTCGTTGTCATCCCCCAAAGGTGTGGAAACCAATAGAGTTTGAGTCATCGGTACTAGCGGTTCATTGAACCCTTTGGCGAACGACTCACTCACAAATGATTGTTGCGCCCCCGTATCAATGAGGATTCTTGCATCTCTCCCGTTAAACTTTAGTGTTCCTACATTTATCAGTCACGTAAGATGCCTTTCCTACCATAACTATACATTTATGGAGGTTTATTATGTTCATATACATGTTTGGGATCAAGGAGGGTCTTAACGTCGCAAAACGCCATGAAAAACCCCATGTCGGACAGTCTGGATGCCACGCACGGCATGCGTAGGAGGCACGCATGCGTGCGTGGCTCCGGTTTCTCACCTGGGGCTACTACCCACCACGCACGGAGGGACACCCCACGCACGACCATGCGTCTGGCAACTTTTTCCCTGGAAACTGTCTGCCACCCACGCAAAGTGGCATGCACGCGTGCGTAGGCGTGTGTGACGTGCAGTGGCCATTTGAAGCCCGTTTTGGCCAAAAAAAAAATCGATTCACCCCCCGGGGGGACCGTACTCAAACCCTACGACCTACATCATCAATATAAGCCTAGAACCAGTCGAAATTTAGTGTATTACCTGCAACGGAGTCCGGCTTAGCACGTGTATTCGCTTCGGTCATCGCGTACACCCTCGCTTGGGCCCCGCCTTCATTTATGGACGTGGTATGGCTTGTGGACGCGCCGCCTCTTCCCGTGCCGCCGTTTAACGGTCCAACACGGTTTCTACCCGTCAAAGCACCTCCTCCGGACCCTGGAGCTCCTCCTCCTCCCAATTGTGGGCAATTGGCCTTCATGTGGCCCGTGTTCCCACATTGATAACACCTCGGGGGGGTGTTTCACTTCCCGAAGTGATTCTTCGAACAGTTGGCACACTTAGGAGGCCCCGTATTTTGAGAGGAGGATGAGTGCCACCGAGCATCCTTGTTCTTCTTTGCCGGTGGTGTTGGTGCCTTGAACGAACCACCACCTCCACCGTGGTTATTCCTTCGTGCTTGCACGGGCGGACCCAAACTATGCCACTTTCTCTTTTTCGCCTCTTCGGCGTCTCTTCCTTTCCTCTCATTCCACTGAGCCTCCCCAAGTAGGCCCTGTTCCACCACCTCGTTGAACGTCATGTGGTGAGAGTATGTAGCTCAGTCACAGATGTCCAAGAGTAAGGCGTCCCAAAAGTGTTCTGACATGCGGTCCTCATTGATCGCGTACTTCGGTAAGAACCTAGCCAAGGTTCTAAAATCTTGCTCCAATTGCTTAACAGAACCACCCTCCTTCTGTTTAAGGTTGGTGTACTCCCTACGCTTGACATTTTTCTCATAGTCAGTGTAGTATTGGTCATAGAATTCTTGATCAAAATTGAACCATGAGACCTCCCTGCGGTATTTCCCTTCTACACTCTCCCACCACGTGGAAGCTATCCCTTCAAGCAGACGTGAAGCGACAGTCAACTTCACTTCCGGTGTAATTTGCATGTCTTTTGCCGCATCCTTCACCTTCTTTATCCAATCGGCGGCGACAGTAATGTCACCGGTGTCGTCGAAGGATTTACACCCCAAGGCTCTAGCCTCCTTGAGGTATTTGGAGATCCTCACACAAAACCCTCCTTCACGCCCACCTTGTGATGCCGCTAGAGTGGCCCTTGAAGCTCCCCGACTTCCTTGACCCGAACCACCATGAGAGCCACGCCTTGCTTGACGCCTAAGGTCTCTCCTCAGTTTCTCTTTTTGATACCACTCAAGCAATTCGCCCATTTGGGCGAACTTGGCATCACTTTCTTCGTCATCATCATCGGTGCACGTGTCACCCCCATCATATGGGGTCTCCTCATGCTCCGTTTCAGGAACGTATGTAGAGTCATAGTCTTCGGTGTTGGTTTCATACACCGAACTAACGTGGCCGTCACTCACAGTTTGAGCCCAATGATCTCCACGGATCCCTTGGCCTCCACAGCCTCCTCTTGAACCCCGAGATGCAGCCCGGCTATCCCTCATGGATACTACCGGCACTTGCCCCCTCGGATTGTTCCTGGTTGCCATTCGCCTACCCTCCATTTCTGAAAAGAGATTTGGACGAGTCATTATTCCTATCAATGTCAATTGACGGAAGAACATTATAGGACACATATTGACCCAAGTCACCGCCATACCAATTGTTAAGGGTACCATCTTAACAACTAGAGACCTTGCAACCTAGGTAACAATAGCTCTATGAACGTCAAAATACAATGCTCATGGTTTTCTGTAAAAATTCCTTTTTGGTAAAATCTCTTGTGAGAGGTTGATTACATAGTTTAGAACTGAGATGGCTCTGATACCAATTAATGATCACACCCCAGACCGCAATCTAAGCACGTGTACAACCGTTGTATAATCGAGTGACGTTACCCGCGGGTCAACCTCACTTAATCATACAAGGCGTTCGAGAAAAAAATCCATCCATACTCAGTAGTAAACATGCATAACAACATCACAAATTAAACCATTGAATAGCGGAAATATTCAGCGGTAATTCATAGGCCACATCCGGCCAATAACACGGGCATGCAAGCCCAAGAGTAGTTTGAAACAAATAAAAATATCCATGAGCAATGTTTAGTAATTTGAAAGAACATGAGGAAACACGAACCATGTCTTCCTTGAAATAGATATCACCCGTAGAAAGGTGCAGGTAGCAAGCTCTAGCTTCAACCTGAAAATGGTGGGCCCCCGAAGGGGTCAGTACAAGTACCAAGCAAGTAGCATGCTAAATATAGAATAACTAGCGTTTCAAGTATAAGACCCAAACATAGGGTGATACTTATGTAAATAGTCTTTTCCCCCAAGTTAAGAAATACTTAATAGTATATATACACTTGGAAAATACCCGATTCGTAGATCGCTGTTTTATTTGGGGAAAATAGTAATAGTCAATATTCTTGACTAAAAACCCCAACCCACCCATATACTTATGAGTGTATAGGACTCTTCCTTATCCTTATTTCAATATCATAAACTATGAGTTTTGAGGATAACATAATCCTTGGGTACTCCACCAATATATATATATATATATATATATATATATATATATATATATATATATATATTTAGGGAGCGGATCAGCTGAGAAGTACCCTTAGGCTGAGAAGCTACGAAGTCTAACTTATAAGCAAAAAACACGAACTTTTAACCAAAAAATCAGAACTTATAGACCCCCTCAAAAACACGAACTTTCTGCAAAAAAAAATTCCAGGTTTCTGGAGTTATTTTGACGCGGTGGCATTTTCGTAATTTTTTTGGAGGGGGTCTATAAGTTATGATTTATTGGTTAAAAGTTCGTGTTTTGAGCTTATAAGTTAGACTTCGCAGCTTCTCAGCCTAAGGGGGACTTCTCACATGATGTTATATATATATATATATATATATAGAATTGGGATCATATACAAAGTCTTCTTAATTTACAAAATGCAAATAGATCTCAGCCCTCTATTTTAGTTGATAGAACCGTAGCTTTCATCTTGATTATATTAGACAATTAAGGGCTTATTAGTCTTTTAGGTATATTTTATTTTTAGAAATAAAATCATGTCTGATTACGTTCAATTATTTCTCTCTTGCACGTTCATTCAGCCATATCTTTAGGATCAAAGCTTCACCATTTCCATCTCCTCCTCAATCTCAAATTTTAATAGAATCATATTGGTGTTCTTCTACTCAAGTGTTCTTCTATTCGAATGTCCTGAATTCCGGCACGTATAAGGAGACGCCAGAGATCAGACCATTAGTTCTCGAATGCCGGAACTATATTATGAACGCCAGAAAAACATTATTTTTTCTTTTATGAAATCCATCAATTTTGTGTTCATACAAAGTTCTTGTAAATTTAGTAACAAAAGTGTTGTATTTCTTTAGCATTTAGAATAAATTTCTTATATATTTTGCATTTGTGTTCTCATGAATTACGTATGCATGTGAATTGAGTATACTAGTATAATGCAGATGGCATAATGATAAGATGCAAAATATGAACTCCTAAAAAGCACATATGTGCAGTTAACATATGATGTAAAAGCACAATATGTGAATTGTGTTAATGAGCAATTCTTGTAATTTTAGTATCTAAAAAATATTGTAATTTTAATGTGCAGTTTTTTTACTATTTAAAAAATGTTTCTTATATATTATGTATTTTGGGACATCACGAATCACGTATGCATGTCAGTTGACTATACAATGCAGATGTCATAACGATAAGATGCAGCATATGAACTACTATAATGCACATGTCATCTTACTAAAATGCAGTGTATGAACTTCGACAATGCACACGTCATCTTACAAAAATGCAGTGTATGAACTTCTAAAATGCACATATCATAATGATAAAATGCAACTTATGCACTCTATACTAAAATGCATATGCCATAGCACTAACATGTAGTATGAACTTCTAAAGTGTACATATTTGAAAACGGAATATACGAACTTGTAAAATGCACATGTTATAAAGATAACATGCAACATACAAACGACTAAAATGCAACGTTGACATATTTTATCACGACGCAATTCTAATATAATTTATGGAGACATTATAAATGTACAATGCACATCACGTAACCTTAATATGCACCTCCTGAAAAACTAATATGCACATCTGGTAACCTTAATATGCATACACTTCTAACAATGCTCATTTCATTCAAGAGCTCTATAATACTTACCATCTTTATGTTTTGAAAAATGGTAGTTTAATTACGTAGATTCTGATTCTATAATTCCAAATATTATTTTAGTAAAAGCTTTCATAAAATATTAATTACAAAATGGTATGTTTCTTTTACGTTTATGGTTAGCATTAATCTAGAGGTCTAGTCATTAAACTATTGCCAAAAATAACTAGAACTACCAGACACTTTTAATTTGTAAATTACTATAGTATCCCTTCTTACTAACCGTTTCATTTATAGTTGTCAATTTTGTTGTGATTCCATGTGTCGTCCACATCCCCTTATCATGGATCTCACACGGATGCCCTTTATTTAGTACAAACGGACGCACGAGATCAGTTTGTAGTTTGTATGGGAGGACTGGTTTGCATGTGATCTTGCCCCTATATATATATATATATATATATATATATATGAGTAATAAGGACTTCAAGTCCTAGGGTCCTCCGCCAATTTATAATCTGAGTGTTAAGGACTTCCAGTCCTAGGGTCCTCCACCAATTTGGAATATGAGTGTTAAGGACTCCAAGTCCTAGGGTCCTCCACCAATTTTTAATATGAGTGTTAAGGACTTCAAGTCCTAGGGTCCTACACCAATTTGTAATCCGAGTGTTAAGGACTTCGAGTCCTAGGGCCCTCCACCAATTTATAATATGAGTGTTAAGGACTTCAAGTCATAGGGTCCTCCACCAATTTATAATCCTATGATTAACCTCCTATCAACCTAGATAGAGTCTATATCATATTCATAGCCAAATAAATTCATAAAGCTTATGTATCTCAATTCATTCATGCAAAGCCATGCATTTATATAAATTTATAATTAACTAATACCAACCGTTATTAATTAATTCTTTACCCATCGGTCAACGCTTTCGTTAACCGTCATTTCAAGCCTTATATATATCAACTTAATCATCATATATATTAAGTTAATAATATTCACTTTATGCTTCCTTTACCTTTCATACATAGCATGCAATTTCATACAAATTCTCATATAATATTCCATGCATATTTATGTACTTCATTTCATACATGCCTAATCATTTTGGCTAATCACATATTTAAATATCTTTTAAGCATCATTATGAATACATATAACATTTATTTAGGTAATCTTATAATTAACCCAAAAGTTATAAGAGCCATCCACTCACCTTACATGAGCTTAAGCGCGTTCGACGTTCCTCGGTTGAACTCCGGTGAAACTCCGGCGAGACTCCGGCGAACTCCGGCGAAACTCCGGCGAACTCTAGAAACACTTTAGTTATGCTCCTAACATAGTTTTATCATCACAAAACTCATATCAATACAAATAACCTCGAAAAGGTTATTTTCCAGCGAACCGGTTATTCTTGGACTTAGAACCACTTTTCAACCCCTCATTCTACATTTCTAAATGTGTAGAATGATTTTAAGTGTTCTTCACATGATATATATCTCATATGATAGAAGAAAAATAAGGGAAAGGCTAAGATACGGGTATTACCTAAATTCCTTATACTTTTAGCACCTTAATCCCTTTTCTTGAGATTCTTCCTTCTTGAGCTCTCCTTCAACAATGGGGAAAAAGGAGCTGGATGGTTTTTTTGCTCTTCGTGGGTGTAGCTTGGCCGAAAAGATGAGGGAGAGGGAGGTGAGGATTACCTCTTTGTCTCATTGAACAAATGAGCGTGGATGGGGCCACCTCATTTTTGTTTGATGCCAAATTGATCAAATCACCATCCCCTCCCATGTTCCCCTCTTTACTCTAACCGGCCAAACCCTTTGTTTGGATGACCAAATTCGTGGGTTGGCGCCCACCCATGTGGGAGGTCAACCTTTTTTTTCCAGAAATGTATATTCGGTCTCGAAAGTTGTATTTTTCGGACTGTTTTAAATATAATTTATTTTATCGGGTCAAATAAAATATATTACTTACTCTCAATCATGATGGCCCCCTTGAAATAATATATATTCCAAAACTTTAATTTATAAGTCTCTGAAGTCCATTTCGGACTGTTATCCAATCAATTACCGATTCCGATAATTGGGCCTTATCTGACCAATTGGTCAACTCGATGCCCTTTCTATGACCCAACCAAAATATATACCATCATGTAAATACCCCCTCCGTCCCATTTATATTGTCTCATTTTACCTTTTCGGGAAGTCCCACTTAAAATGTCACATACCATATTTGGCAAAGTTTGTGTGACTCTAAATCATTCTTACTTTTTTTTCCCAGAAGTACCACTAGAAGTGGGGAAAGCGCCGGGGAACACTTTCCAATTTATTAAAAAAGCATTGCAACTCTAAATCATTCTTACTTTATCAATTAATATCAACCACACAAACCCACTTTTCTTAATAACCGTGTCATTCTCTTCCGGGAAAATATAAATGGGACGGAGGTAGTATTATTTAGACCAAGATGAATATAATATGTGGTCCCGGAATTATCGGGGGGTCCCCGCTCCCGGTGTGGGCCCCACGTGCAATTCACTATTCACGCAAAGGTAATAACAAAAATTTTCAACCTCGTAAATTCATAAGTCATTATTCAAGGTTTATTACATGATTTACTAAAAAGTAAATATACTCGGGGATGGTGTTACAGGCATAGTGATGTATTCCGGCCCACATGATCAAAAAAACCAGTGGCCTTAGTAATTGATACTCCATACTACATCCGTCCCATTTTATGTGTCTCATTTGATTTTGGCACAATTTTTAATAAAGTTGTTAAAAAGGTAAAAATTGTAGTTGCTATTTGAATATAATAAAGTAAAATATTATGAATCACATATTTCTTTCCAATAAGAGAAAGGTGACACTTATGTTGGGACAAGGGCTATTATTTTTATAATGATAATGATTATTATACCAATTAAGTAGCTTAGTCATATGTGATATGTTCCACGTAAATACTATGTACTATGGAGTAATAGTATTTTGAATCTTTGATTTTATTAAAACAAGGCCGTATGACAATGACGTAAAACATATACTCCCCATCACTTTATCTGTTTATCATTGGCCTCATATTCTTTTATTCTTCTCTTTAAAATCAATTGTGAGCCCGTGATATATGAACCGAAAAACAAAGATGACACCCCATCCATGAGTGCCCTAACACCGACCGGATGGTACGTTGAGAGAATGTAAATTGGACTATATTCGCAATCTGATAGATAGAGAGTGACGCTCTGTCCCTGATACTTGCAGAGGCCTTATGCATTTTTTAGCATAATAACCTCTTATCGCAGTTGCCGGGATTCGAACCCGGGACTTAACCCTTGTGTGACTCCCTCGCTACCAGTTGAGCTACGCCCACTGGTCCGTCATATGTTAACTAATTATAAATGATGTGATCAGACTGTTATGTAAAATAGAATGGGTAAACTTTTAATTTGTACCATGAATTGAAATATTACTTCAATATATATAGTTTATGTTCCCAATTTGCTTCATTTAATGATCTGATGGGACTCCGAGGAGTTGCGGTACTTAAATGCATCAATACATATTACGGAGTATCTCGAGTATTTTATTTTTATCAATGATATTTACAATTATATGTTTATTATTGTATTTAAGGAGGCGGACCAATGGACCATTAGACACCCCTATTCCTAAGCGTCAGCCACTGGTATAAGGGATACGAATGATCTTGTTAAAAATATATCAATCACTTTCACTCTACGCAAGTGTGCATTCTATAAAGCTTTGACTTCCCTTCTTAATTGTCACTCACTTTATGTTGGGTTTATGTTAACTTAACCATGAAAAAAAACTAACAAACACAATTATAAATCATAATATTTCTATAGGGGTGTTCATCAATTCAGTTTCATCGATTTTGTCAGTTTCGGTTTTATCGATCTCGGTTTTAGAAAAGGTGAAACTGTAAACCAAACTGCACTACTTGTGTCGGTTTGTGTCGATTTAGCATGTTTTTGTTGGTTTTTGTTTGTCGATTTTGGTTTGATCGATTTTTTAACTCAAAAGATGAAACCGTAAACCAAACTGCCAATGGTTAATCAGTTTTAGTCGGTTTCGGTTTGAGTCTATTTCAGTTTTGATCGGTTCGATTTTAGTCAGTTTGTCGGTCGGTTTGGGGGTATGTACAACTCCTTGTAGTTACGCCTAGTTTGGGGGCAAGATTTTTCGTTACACATAAACTCGGACAAACATTCATTCACTTTGACCCATCTGCACCCTGATTGTTTTCTCAATCCACATTCCTCCTCTTGCAATACTATGTTTGATAAGAGAAGAAACAAAGAGGCGGAAATTTACCTAACATTTAATATGATAAGAATATAAGGTCATGTCATACTTATGATTTATATAGATTTGTAATCTCTTAGACACTATCTTAAATAGGAGGATGAGTTTCCAGTTAGCGTGCCACTTGATGCCTTTCTTTCTTATAAGTCATATATTGTAAATAATCACAATTTGGACAAAAGGCATCTATAACTCTTTGTAGTTATGTCCGATCTAGGGGCAAGATTTGTCGTTACACACAAACTGAGAGAAACATTCATTCACTTCGATACAGAAATTCAGAAACATGGCTTATCCCTGCTCCTGTTAAAAAACATTCTTTCTTTTAAATGACATTTGTTACTTCCTTTTTATTGAAGCAATTTTTTCATTGTTCTCTAAGAACTGGACAGAACACATTGGCCAACAATTTCTACATTTTGGCAACACCTTTAGCAATGAAGTTTTCCCTCCTTTCAGCATTTGCAATGTCTTGCCTGAACTATTCTAGCCTAAAGAAGTCATGAGCCAACTTAGCATCACTCTGCTGTTGTTTTGCCACAAGTATAGTTCATTATCTTTTCCGGTCCATCTCTTCAAGCTTACATCACCCCGTCCAGTTACCCTCTTGTGGATCTAAATTGTCCTATGCTTCAATTTTAAAGTATTTAATCAATTAAAGTATTTATTCGGGTACTTGAACTTCAAGGTCCAACACAATTATATTTTAGATGTAATAAAATACCAAAAATGATAGCTGAGTTATGCCTGTCATTTCAATAACCCCTAAATCTTTACACATAAAGATAAACCAAGATTGATCCACAGAATAACCAGAACATATGATTTCAACTTCCCAAATCTTTATACATGGATGGATAGGTCAGAACTTGCCAAAATTGCTTTCTTGGCACCCTCAAACAAACTATTCGTTAGGTGTAATGGATATTATGTCTTCCCAAGTTTAATTTCACAGTGGACTACTATATACAAAAATATTCAAATTGTTCTCAAATTATTTCTGAAAGTAACATGTCTAAGAAAACCTCAGCCATATATATACACAAAATTAGTTGCAAAGCATTCCAGAAAAATTAGGTAATAGGAATAATCATCTGGGCAGTTTTGTTAACAACATTAACACTTTGGTTTTGATAGTTTCTGTAATTAGAGAACCCCCCATTTTTATTATTTTTTTAAAATTGTGCTGCAGTTGAAGATTGCATGTCCATACTATAAATAAAAATCAGAAAAGGGAAACTTTGGACACCCTTTATTCATAAAATAAGAATATGAATGGGTAAAGCCCAGTTTTTACTTAATAATTATAGTGTTTATTTAAAATCATTCCTCATTGTTGTTATAGAAATGCTCTACTTTATTCTTAGCGGCATTCTTAAAAACCAGTAAAAAGAAAGAAACGTGTTTGCACCATTTGGCATCCTTATAGAAAATGTCTCACTTTTAACATATTGTTTTCCTTCTCTTTCTCTAAAATACAATATCTAACTTCAGCCATGGATTCTCCCCCTCTCCCCCGTTAGTGTGACATACAGAAAAAAGAAAACATGATATGAATTCATGTTTAGATGACAAAAGGTGTACCTTTCACATTCCTGGAACACACCTTTGCTAAGGCATCCATTTTGTTAAATCCCTCAAGTGTTTCTACCGGTTGCTTATAATACTCTGCCACATTATCTTCTTCTCATGCAATAATCAAGCAATGCATTTAATTATTAACACCACTATCATAAATATATCCTCAAACTTAATTAAAAAGATGGGGGAAAATATTGGGTCAAAGGAAGAAGACAATCAACACATCACAAATAAAAAGTAAGTTCCTCCCCACACATTTTTTTTACAAAGTCCAATAAATTTTGAAGAAAATACTTTTAGTTACACCAATAAGGGTGGTAAGAAATATAGTGAGTACTAAATAGGCTTATAGTGTTATACATAGACAATGCATATATATTTCTTTTCCAGATTAAACTGGTTTATAGTGGGTACTATCATGAAACCTTTGAGTATATTTTCCAAAGTTAAGGAAGCCTTACAGACTATCGTACTGCAAAGTCTTGCAGTATAGGCTGAATGTACACAAATATGACTAACAACAATTGAATGTGTATCCATTGTAAAAAAGAGAGTAATAATCTAATAGGTAATACCATTTTTCATAACTTTAAATATCATGTCACAATAGTATCTGAAAGGAGACGCTCATATCACAGGGCAAATATACTCTGCAAGATGATATAGAAACGATTGTAATTAAGCAGCCAAGAAACAAATAAGACCATGGACTGCTTGAGTTTAAGACTAAAAGAATTATGTTTAAAGCATTAGAGGAAAACAATACTAACCATCTCCATTCACCACCAATACTAACTGAAGGTTTAACCTATCAATGAATAAATAAGCCTCTTTTTACTTCACAAAAAGTAAAAAAAAAAATGAAATATACAGTTAATGTGATTAGGGGTAAAAGATAAACCTCATCTCCTAGAGAACATAGTGTCAAGATTGCTGGAATAATACTTTGTTTAGCCTCATTGCATACCAAATCTGATCAGAGGATAGCCCATTCTTCTCTACATTAAAGACAATTATCAAGAAATTGCAGGTGAAGGAATGAATAATAATATTGATCACGATCGGGAAAAAAGAATTAGGAATCATGATATTACCTTTGAACTTATGATAAATAACAAAACAAAGTTTAAAAGTTATTGCACATGGTGTATACCTAAAACCCAACGAAGGAGTAGCACCCAAGTATAAACCAAAGCATCAAATATACCTAAATTTGATTTAAGATGTTATTCCAGAGGACTTCTTGATTAATAGAACGGTAGTAAAGTTTGTAAGAGAAACCTGCACTATTTGAAGTTGAAACTCATCCATAATCACCACCAAATCAAAACCTGCAAAAATTGGAATTGGCTAAAGTAGTAAGCACCACTATTTTAAAAATATAATGCCCTTATTTATTGAAAATATATCTAAACATGTAATTGGACATCATGCATAAGAAAGGTAT